CTGAGCTCATTCAATTTCCACAAAAAGGTGCTTAAATTATGCCTTTGTGCGTGTAGCAGACTGCAATGACTATTTGGGGAGAAGAAAGAAGTTTCTATCACAAATGACAGTTCAATCTCAAACCTCCCGCCAGTGGCCAGCAGCCCCGCATGATGTGAGGCTCTCTGCTCCTCTCCTCGGTGACCCCTCCCTGGACACCTCCAATTTGGCTTCATTTTTGTTTTTCCTTTGTCCCTTAGTCACATTTATTCTCGTAGTCTTCTTCTGTTCTCTCCTCAAGCAGACACAGAAGTATTTCCTTAACAAGAGACAGTCTTTTCCCTGAGAAAAAATAACTTCTCGATGATATTTACATTTATTGTTTCCTGTTAATTCTAAATTTCAAGTCACTCTTTTTTGTCTAACAGCTTTTGATCATTTTCTAATTGAAGATTCACATTCTTAAGTTCTGTGTCTACATTAGAAATTAATACTTAAACTTTAGTGTGTATAAGGATCACTGAGATTTTGGGTTAAAAGTACAAATTCCTGATTCTCGCTATGATGTTCTGAAACAGGAGCTGTGCAAGCGGCTCTCAGATGCTATAACCATTCACCTGGGGGATCCTGACGTAGCTGGTTCATAGATGCATATTAAGAAACACTGATCTGGTCCTTTGACAAAAGCATTAAATAGCCAAGAAGTGCCATGAACAACTGTCTCCTCAGATTTAAAATAATTCACAGTGATTTCTTCCCAAAGTTATGCAACCTTTAAAATGATAAGAATTGGTAAAAACAAATCACTTGTAATATTTACTGGAGGTTAGAGGTAGAAAAGACAAATTTAGGCATAGATGTATATACAAGAATGAAAGGCCTCTGTAGGCAGAGATTTTTGTCTTTATTTCACTACTAAATTTTTAGTACCTAGACCAGTGTCTAGACAAGGTAGATTTTAACACATGTAAGAATGTTAAATATTGAAGCAATCAATTATGGAGGCAAAGAGATAAGGTCTGAGGTTATTTTATTAACTTTTTTTTAGGTATTCAAGATCCAAAGACCTGGAAGCTGAATATAGAATGTGAAAAACCAAGTAGCAAAGTGTTTAAAATTAAGCTACTCTCTCAATTGTTAAGGAAGGAAAACATTAGAGGCTAAGTTCAAATAAGAAAAAAGCCCCCATTGATTTCTCTAGGATATCATTACATACAGATGAAAATAATCTCCTTTATTACTAGCAGAAACAAATTACTGGAATGTACCTGAGAAAACTGAATTCCCAACTAGATCAGGCTCTTCTGGGAAAACTGACTTTTAAATCAGTTTGTACTCTAAATATGTTCTTTGTAAAAATCTGATGTCATCCTTCAAAGGCAACCTTCCAGACGCCAACATCACTTCATTCCCTCCTCATTTAATTTTCAAAGTGTGTGTTAGCGTGGAGGCCTTCTGAAGAACGTCTCTCTTAAGAAAGTTCAAACATATGGGGATAGAGATTTCATCTTATAACAACAACAACAACAAAAATCAGACTCTGATATCATCCTCTGTCCATAAATTAGTTTCTGAAGCAAAACAATTGGCAATCTAAAATATTTCTCTACTAATAGCAACACTGTCAACACTTGGTAGGACAAATGTAATGTTTGAGAGACGTCAGCTGCTCACAAAAAGAGGACTCTCCTTTATACAAACATTGTAGTAGAAGCACATGACCTATGTGGCCAGCTTCTATATTTTGATTGTGCTGTGTGTATTGTAAGTGAATGGATTTTGCTCCAGTCTTTGCTCCTTTGACCTTTTAGAGTTTTAACTGAGACTCCAAAAGCAGTAACCAAAGGCACAGTGTTCCATTTTGGAAGCATTCAGAAAGCAAGGCACGCTGGCTAAATTTAGTTGTAGCATTCAGAATTTAAAACCACATCCGGCCATCTTTCTAGGAGAAACAGAGTCACTCACTTCTGATTTAAATAAATCGGTCAAATAATAGTTGCTTCTTAGTTTACTCATGCTTGAAGAAAAGGGAAGAGGGTGCCGGAGAGGGCAAATAACAAAAGCAGACCGTGTCAGGCTTCTTAATGGTCGCAACTCGGGCGTGCTCATTTTGTAGGCCACCAAACAATGGAAACTTTGTGTCCATTTAAAATGATTCTGGCTCAGAAAATGCAAATTATAATGAAAACTGAGGCAACAAAATTAGAAGCTGAAAACATTGAGAACTGTTATGTTGAAGAAATATTTTCTGCTTTATCAAGAATTATATTTGACACGAACTTCAGGAAATAATTAAAAGTATGAAATAGGAGAATCAGTCTTGAAAGTAGTATTTCATATCCTAATGATAGCTAGGGAAATATCATGAATCTTTAAGAACTCCAACTTTGCTCACTATAGCAATAGCCCTGATGTTAAGTCATATATTATTTATAGCACTTAGTCACAAATCTTTTTTCTAGGTAACGAAATTTAGAAGAGCACATGAAATCACAAAAATTCAGTTCTTTGGCTTCACAAAGTTAAATTAAGCTCTGACTATCAGAAACTGCCACAGCAGAGACCAGACGTAATCTAGAACTTTGAGCCTAACCCAGTGTAAGCCGGCTTTGTGCATTGCAAAAGTAGATTTTGAATGGCAGCTCTTACTTTATTTTATTGTGGCAAGAACACTTAACATAAGATATAATTTCTTAACAAACTGTTAAGTGTGCAATACAGTATTGTAGACTCTAGGTACAATGTTGTACAGCCTAATTCTATAATTGATCTGCTGTGCCTCATTGAAACTTTGTACCCGATTAGCAATTCCCATTTTCTCCTCCCTCTAGCCCCTGGAAACCACCATTCCATTCTCTAATTCTGTGAATTGGACTATTTTAGGTATCTCATATAACCGGAACCATGAAGTACTTGTCCTTCTGTGACTGACTTATTTCACTTGGCGTGATGTCCCCAGGCTTCATCCACGTTGTAGCATTTTGCAGAATTTCCTTCTTTTTAGAGGCCAAAATAGTATTGCATTGTATGTATATGCCACACTTTCTAAAAGAATAAATAAATAAAAAGTACTTTTCTCAGAATTTATAAAACTGTACATGAAGAGAAGAGCCAGGCTGGTGCCTTGGATGGTAAGGTTGTCTGCAGACCTCAGTGCTTAGCAGTCAGTGTATGAGCCGGCAGCGTGGTTAGAACTCAGTGTGTGAGGAGCGGACTAAGAGAAAAAGGGCTGTGAAAGTGATTCCCTGCTTCTCCCCTCCTCACCACCTGCCCCCGTGGATCTAAACTCACCCACGGGGATCCAACCCTACTGTGGGGTAGTGTCTGTTGTTGGTCAGATCTGCTGGACGTGGAGAAACTCGAGTAAGGAGTGTGGGAAGGAAGCCTGAGAGGAGCAGGAAACTCACCCAGACCAGCTTCTTTGTCACCTGCATTGACTGGTTAGACTAAGATGAAAGTGTTTGCCAGTTCCCTCTGCCCCGCCCCACAACAAACATGAAACATATCCACACAACGGCACATATCTCTACTTCCTCATGTGTAAATCTAAAATTTTAACTGTCTGTAATCATAGCAATTGTTTTAAAGTTGACCCAAATCGGGGCAGGTCAGCAGTGACCTGAGAGAGAACGGTGGAGGGAGGAGTGGGTGGGAAGGCCCACGAAGCAAAGTCTAAACACAACAACCAGAAACAAACCTGCCTGGCAAGGGCTTCCAAATACTTGAGGGCTTGCTGAGTTAGACTATGTATTAATAATAAAGCTCTGTTAGGGCAAACTCTGGAAATAGTTCTGTCTCTCACTGCACGGCAGGGGCGAAGACCAGAATGTAGACGCAGGGATGTTTGTAGACAGCTGAGACGGAGTTCTCAAAGGCCGTCTTCTGGTGCAGCAGTTTTGTTTCAAGGAAGGTTTTCATTTCAAAGGCATCAACTTTGGAAGTCAGAAAATGATGAGCAAGGATCCCGAGAAACTGCTCCGAAGAACATTGATGAAATCTTCTCCCCTCCCCACAAACTACAAATCTTGCGTGCGGCTATAGAGAAAATGTTTGCTCGTGAAACACTTAGAAATAATTGTGAGTCCAACTCAAAACCTTTGATGAAGTGAGTCAACATTGTTTTGCATAAGAGATCTGCACAAACAAAAATGGTATGTTGATAAGGACAGGATGAGTTGGGAGAGATTGTCAAAGGCCATAAATTTTAAAAATTGGGGACAGATGTGGCCTGCCATGACTTCAAATAGATACAATAGGGCCCAGAGGTTAAGAACAAGGACTGTGGTGTCAGGCCAACCTGGATACCACTTTCACCACCGTTTACTGGCTACAAGACCATAAGCAGTTTATTGTACCCAAGTCTCAGCTTTATTATCCTTCAAACAAAAACAAGAGAATTACCTCATTGCATTCTTGTTGGATTAAGCAAGACAACACATGCTCATTATTTAGAGCAATGGCTTGCACATCATAAGTGAATTAATCTGGGTTTGAGTCTTTTTTTAAGGTTTTACTTATTTTTAGAGAGGGGAGGGGGAGAAAGGGACAGAGAGAAACATCAATGTGTGGCCGCCTCTTGCACACCCCCTCCTGGGGACCTTGCCTGCAACCCAGCCATGTTCCCCAATTGGGAATTGAACCCACCACCCTTTGGTTCACAGGTGGGCACTCAATCTCCTAAGCCACACCAGCCAGGACATGGGTTTGAGTCTTTCTTTGAGTTGCTTCATTTTCCACCAGATAAATTAAGAAAATAGAGCAGTGATCATTTTGGATTTGATAATCTATCCCTATGTTCTGCCTCTGAGTATAGGATCAAAGGGTATTTTCTGGAAAACATCATAGTCGCCCCCTATCCGTAACCTGATATGGAGCATTATGAAAGTGACCTAAGAATTTATTTAGTAGTAATAACGATAATCAAATGGTTTTTGCTTACCTTTTAGAGTTACTCTTTCTGTAGTTGTTTAATTCTTTATGTACATGAAGAATAGTTTCATTTTCTTAAAAAATGCATGTTGGTGCTCACTGCGGCAGCACATATACTAGAATTAGAACAATACAGAAAATATCAGCATGACACCTGCTCAGCGATGACATGTGACTTCATAAACTGGTCTATATTTTCATGAAAAGAGTTCTGGATACGGGTGGTGGTGATGGCGTACAGCACGGATGTGCTTACCACCAACCTGTTCATTAGAAAATGGTTAACATGGTAAATTTTATGTTATGTGTATTTTACTACCATACAAAAATTAGGAGAAATGTAAGAGGACCATGAGTTCTTAAAATGCTGGTCCTCAACAACAGTTTTATATATTCAAATGGTCATATAATAGCTAAAGAGCTAGTCCTTTTGTATTCAGCCAAGCAGAGGCAACACGGCATTAAAATTCTGAATATTATAATCTGAAGAGATGGACTAGAGCAAGATGCTTTTTGTTTATATATTTATGCTTACTACATAACAGCTTAGAAGAATAACTATGTAGAATCACTTGTTATTACTGTATTTTCCACTGTTGTATTTGTTATACTTAGAAGAACTGGGAACTGGACTAGATAGAGTAATCAAAAGACAGTTGTGGATCAGCCTGATGCCCAAACAGCAATTTAAAACATTTTAAATGTTCTTGTGTTTTTTATGCTTTTCTACACAGAATGCAGTAGAAGATTTTCTAGGGACTAAAATGACTAGTTTAAACAACTTATGTATGAATGTGAAACACAAAAATACTTAACTTGCAAGTGAGTATTCCCGAATCTTGCCGCAGTTTCCTTTCTTCTATAACTTAACATTTCATCAGGCAGCAAATACGGTGATGGATCATTCTGAAAAAACTACAATTGTTTTCCTTCTTATTTTCTTGCAGTCTGAAGGTAATGATCTCTTGTTTTCATTATCAAGTTGAGCTCTACCTACATCTACATTTTTACATTCTATCTTCTGTCCTGTTACAGTAAATGAATTGTGTCTGCTTCTACCCACAACTCCGTTGCTTCACTTCACTTTATGGATAAAACTAATTGGATTGCCAGAGGGGAGGGAGGTTGGGGGACTGGGTGAGAAAAGGTGAGGGGATTAAGAAGTGCAACTTGGTAGTTAAAAATAGTCATGAGGATGTAAAGAACAGCATAAGAAATGTATTCAATAACACTGTAATAATATGCCGTGGCTGGTGTAGTTTAGTGGATTGAGCGTGGGCTATGAACCAAAGGGTCACCACCAGTTTGATTCCCAGTTAGAGCAAGGCACATGCCTGGGTTGCAGGCCAGGTTCCCAGTGGGGGCCACATGAGAGGCAACCACACATTGATGTTTCTCTCTTTCTTTCTCCCTCCCTTTTCTCTGTCTAAAAATAAAAATAAATAAAATCTTAAAAAAATAATACTGTAATAATGATATATGGTGTCAGATGGGTACTGAAAATATCAGGAGGAACATTTTGTAAAGTATATGATTATTTAACTCCTATGCTGTACGCATGAAACTAATATAAAATACTGAATGTAAGCTGTAGTTGAAAAATAAAAGTTTTAAGAAAACTAGTTGAAATAGTTATTTCAACTTCCTTACCTCCTATTATCTACTCAGCCCACTCCAGTCCGTTTAGCAGCACCTCCAGCTTGCCCTGACCAGTAGTCACCTCTCAGACGTCATATTTGACACGGCTGTCACTACCTTATTGACATGTTTTTGTTTTTGACATCTACCATCTTGATTTTCCTGCTTCTTCACCAGCCTCTCCTTACTGAGGAGCAGCCTCCTTTTCTTCTTCCTAACCTCTTAGTGTTATGGACTCATGCCAGGGCTCCATTTTCTCCTCTACCCACATCCCCATGTGGCCTCATCCAGTCCCACATGCAAATGCCACTTCTCTGCTAATGACTACCCAGCGTATCTATCTAGCCTTCACCTCCCTCTGAATCCCGGGCTTATATATCCAACAGCTTACTCATCATCCCCATTGGGTATCTGCTAGGCAGCTGCCCAAAGCAGCAGCCTTAATCACCCCTCCAGAACCTCCCCCTTCCAGTCTTCTGTATCTGATTCAGTTGCTAAGTCTGAAACCCCAGAAGGTATCTTTGCATTCTCTGTCCATCTCCACTACAATAAACCTACCAACAAGTCTTACAAGCTTACAGACATCAAAACACTTCCTAAATCTAGTCACTTTTGCTGCCTCCCCACTGCCATCCTCCTGTTTTATCATTACTCCTTACCTAACTCGGCCAGTGCACCTAGCTTCCTCTCGGCTCAGCTGACTTCCACTCCTGCCTCTCACTGCCAAGTGCAGTGTGGCAGAACTAGTGCAGGTGGGGTCAGTCCTCTACTCAAAAGCTTCCGGGGTCCAGGCATCCCATGTTGAATAAAATCCAAAGTCCCTGTCCCCTCCTGGTCTGGCCCTGGCCACCTTTCAGAACTTGTCCTATACCATCCTCTTCTCTCATTTCTATTGCTCTAAGCAAAGATGTCCTTTTTATTCTCTAACACCCCATGTGCTTCCCACCGTGGGACTATTTACTTACATGGAGTTGGTTTCTGATAAATACCTCCTGATGAATAATTGTAAACTGGGCCGTTTTCCTTCTCTACTCTCACTCTTATTTTCTGTTAATTCGTACAACTTCCTGTACTCACTCTGTATGACACTCAGAGAAAAAGACCACATTCAGTATTATTTTAGGGTTGCTAACTGTAGATTATTGAGTGTTTCTTTTTCAAGTGATAGAGAGAGACCTAACAGAAGGAGTGGCTGCCTTGATTTAAGGAAGCCTGGGAGCATGTCTGAAGAAGAAGCTGTGCCAGACCACTAAGCTCTATAGAGCTGCTGTACAAGACCATTCTGGCTACAGCCAACAACGTTGTATTGTGTACACTGAAACATTTGTCAAAATAATAGACCTCATGTCAAGTGTGCTTGTCATAATGAAAAAAAGTTCCCTCTTTCAGATTCATTAGATAAGCTTGCTGAGATACAGCATATCTATAACCTCGAGTTCTGTTGAAGGGGCTGCCGCTAGGGACAGATTACAAGTAGGGGCCAATAATTTGCATCTGCACTAGCATCAGTCATATCCATCTCTTTACCACGGAGATCCCTGATCTGGTCAGCTCTCACCGAAACCTCCCCCCCCCCCAGTCTCAGTTTTCTCTATCATCCTTCTGTAAGTGAGTGTTCTTCTTTAATTAACCTTTCATGCAAAATGCCAAGTTCTTCAGGGATTTGTCTCACTAATAGTAACTGATTTCTTACTTGATTCCAGGCATTATCTTGTCTCTGCTGATATAAATTTAAGACAATAGATTGGCATGTGTCTATCTTACATAATTCTCCCAAGTTCCTTAAAAAATTGCTATATTAATCTAAATATTTATAGCCTTTAACTTATTCTGTGTTCCCCCAGGTTCCGCCTCAACTGACTCCCCCATTCTCTGCTTTCCCATTTCTTAGCTTCCCACTGCATTTTCACTGCAGACTGCATGTTTCTCAGTGAGTGATGTGGACTGGCATCTCCCATTTGTTCCTTTGCCTATGTTCTTCAATTTTGCACCAGCCAAACTACCTTCTACCTCAAATCCAAAAGCTGGCCTAAATTCTGATTAACTTAGGAACACAAAGTAGCAGAGCCAGGTATTAAAAGGCCTCAGAGGGGAAAAATCTGATGCACCCTGCTGCGAGCGCCCCTGTGTAACATACTTAGGGAGGCCACAGCATCTGCAAAGCCAGGCATTTTTCTCAGGACCTTCCGATCTAGTGGGTGGACATTACGCATAATGCCTAAAAGCATTCTATGACCTAAGAAAAATCACAAAATGCGGACATTCTATATGGATGAGAGAGCTAGAAGGACTTCCTGGAGGTGGCATTTGTATGAGGTGGTGGCAAGTAAACAAGATTTTGATAGGCACAGGTAATTGAGCATTCTGGACAGAGCAGAGAAAGAAGCATGAGAAGAAGGATCTCAAAGGAAGATCCTTCTATCCTGTGGTAGCCAACTGGGCTTTCTGAAATCTCATTCAGCTTACAGACAAGGTTATCTGCCAGACTGCGTTTAAAGTTTGTTTGGTAATAATAATGACAGATGAAAAATATAGACTCACCCTTAGGGGTCAGTACAGAGACTGGCAATATTATGATAAGGCATCTCTTCCTCAAAGGGTATAAGAGAAAAATCATACAAACACAGAAAGGAAACATTCTTCAAGGATCACGTGAAGCCATAGCGAAGGCAACTGTTCTCTGCAGCTAGAGAATGACAATAAAAGACAGAGTTTAACAGAATTTTAGCCACAGTAACAGAGACATGGATGTAGGCAGGTGGTTCTTATGTTTCTCTTCATAATGCCTTTCAGCCTTGTGCATGTAAAACATACTCTGTGAGATCCAAAATATGTGTGAACAGTATCAGTGCTAAGGAGAGTGTGAAGGAAGCAAAGGGAGTTTTTGGCTTCCTTTCATTTCCTCTACAAGAGCCCTTCTGTCCTTTGGAAAATCATTACCTCAGCCTTTTTTGCTTTCCTTTTTACCCTACACTCTCAAATTTATGTTTAGTGTTTTAAACATAAATAGGAGTCACTCTGAGTTCAAGTTCTTTCCCAATGGCACACCCAAAGAACAATAACTTCTTCTACCTATTTCTGTACTCAGCCTTATAAATTACATGTAGCAAATTACAAAAAAAAAGATTGTTTTACTTTTTGAAAAACATAAAAAGGATGAAGAAAAGTAGCTGCACGTTTTAGCAGGGCACTGCCATAGGGCCTGCAGTATTTCAGTGGAACACCGTCGGGTGAGGCAGAGCTTCACAGGACCAGCTCTCCAGAGCAGTCATTTCTGCAGTTGCTGTGAGACTCTGCCCCATAGACAAGGGCGGTGGTTGTAATGGGAAATGTTCGGTGTGGGACAATGTGTTCGGGAAGCATCACCTAGGAAAGGCGTTGGGAAAGGCGCACAGACTCCAGGACAGACATTCTCCGTCTGGCCCAGGGAGGGGATGGGGGTCTGTGAATGGCCTTGAAAATATCTGTGAACTCTTGAAATTGTGTGTAAAATTCTGGATATTTGCATTTCTAGAGAGAGACTCTACTGTTCTATTTATGTTTTCAAAAAATACATAACCT